GGAATCCATAAACCACAAAATACTAATGTTAAAAGAATCTGGCCAAAGATACTGCATTCATGACTGTTTGTTTTTTCTTCCTTCCTTTTACAAAACAAAAACAAATAAATTCCTTTGCTGTAATCAATAGTAGTCAAAAGCTAACTTTCCTCAGTTCAAGGATATCAGCTTGAAATGTTAAGGCTACATGCAATATTAATTGATACAAAACTGTTATTTCTGTTATGAAATTTACTATACAAATGTTTCCTAAAAAGCTAATGATTATTTTTTTGTGACATAATGAAAAAAAATCAAAGTCTAAGGGGAAACAAGTAAGTGGGCATGTACAGCTCACATATGTTTATTTAAGCATATTTTACTTATTAAAATACAGTAGTTACTTTCTGGATGAGGGCACTCAAATTATAAAATTGTCAGGTTTCAGACTTGGCACGGTAAAAGGTTTTCTTGCTGCATTCTAACAGAGTAGGAGAAAAGCATCACTTCAGTGGTAAAGAGCTAAATAACCACACAGTTAATGGAGGGAAAGTTTAGGAAAATAATTACGTTAATTCACTTCACACCTGAGCCTGCAACCTTTAACCATGCAATGACATTCTTTGTCCAGCAGCAGACCCAAATTTACACTTTGCAGAATCACATCCTTACTGAAGTAGAGATTGCCAAATGGCTGTTAGTGAGGGAAGCGCCATGTGTGCCAGTTCTAGAAACCAGTTAAGGCAGTACAGTCTGCCCTATATTTTCAGAATTTTGGTACCTTACATAACTAGGTGCAAAATCCTTATTTTTATTTCTGATTCTTTTGTTTGGAAGTGCAGTCATGTGCAATCAGGTGGAATAAGTGTGCTGATAACTTTCCTTCAGAAATTGTAATGGTTAGTGATGTGGACACTTTTCTTTTTAGGCAGAAACCATGAGGCACTGAAGCAAGCATTCACTTTTCTTGCACTTGAGGTCACAAATTTATGCAAGTCAAAAATGTTGGCCTTGCCAAAAACATCATGCTACACTCCACCAAATAAAAGGACACTGTTATTCTTACAAGGAAAGGTTTGACAGGACAGGAAATAGGCAGGGTCATAGAAGTTTACTTAATACCGTAACTTAGTTAACTATCTTTAAGCCAAAATACAATGATAGTTATTTAAAAAAAAAAAAAAGGGGGGGGGGGGAGGGAAGACTAATATGAGAGGACCGGACTGTGCTATTACAGGAGTAGCAACCAATACAGAAACTAGGGAACCTGAATAAAAATTCACATAATTCAGGTTTCTATATGTCACCTGCCTTTACTGGGTTAACATGTAGTAAGTAAGTTTTAATTTATGTCCTGAACTTGCAGCAAGAGGCATCAGATCTGCAGAACCCAATCCAGAGTTTACCAAGCTATATGCTACATTACAATGCAATCCTTAAGTAGACTGCATTCCATTTAAAGGAATGGAGGAAGGGGGGGTAAGAAGAGAGTGAATATGAAAGATAGGAAAAATGTTGCTGTTCATTACAATTTTCCATTTTTGTTGAAACACAGCAGGAGAGCAAAGCCACAGGCTTCTCTACTGCTCTTGCATGCCAGGAGGGATTATGCAAACACTGCAACCACCCAAATCTTATTTAAATTATAGTCATTGTTCCCCCTTTAATGGTTATACTTTTGCCTGCTTTCACTCAAATATTGCTGCATCTTGCTTTCCGCCAACATAGTCCCAATGGGAGTCATCAACTCTTAATTATAGATGAACAGATCTTTGAAAAATACCTCTGGAAAAAAAAGTGGAAAAGAAAGCAACCTTTAAGTGCCATCTAGTGGCTGATGTACTAAAAAACGTAACACAGATCCAAAAAATTCTTAATATGACACAGAGTGATATAACTGTAGCTGTATTGAGGAAGCAGTGCTTCAATTCACAACCACTAAAGACTAGGTTAATACTTTGGGGAACCAAGAAAAGGACTAAAGATCAATGGTATCGTTACCATAATTTTTCTTTCAATATTTTTGTCTGTAAGTAGAGAGGTCAAGTGGTCAGAATTGTTTAGTGATCACCTGTTCCTTCAAGACACTTATCAGCTTCTGCCTTGGTAAGGAAATATAGGTTGTCATATATATTTCAGTCTAGATTAGAAAACAGAACCTTTTCAGATCTCAAAACAGAATACAAACTGTGGGGGTGAATTTGGAACCAAGCATCCGAATTTAAAAGTTAGCATTCTCCCCCAAACTCACCTGGGGTTGGAGGCCAGATTTTCTGTGTCTCTAGTTGTAACAAGTCAAACCCATTTCTAAAAGAAAGGAGACAGATTGCTAGTTAGTAATATCCTTTTCCTTTCCCTGCAGGAAAAGCCATTTTCTGCTATAGATGAGAATTCCCAACAAATTATTTTCCATTATAAAAGCTTCACGTTCAGTTTACACAGCGGACGTTCCACAAGATCATTCCCCAAGCTTTAGGTAACTCCTCTTGGAGTCTTTGACAGTCTAATCTTAAATAGCTTTGTCTGAACAGTTTTTCATTGAATTACAAAACCAATTTACAATTAGTTAATTTAGGCAGAAGGATAGATCTCAGATAAAGTCATTAATAAGATCAATGTGTTTCCCAGTCCTCTCTTCCTTTTGCTAATATAAAAATTTTAAACATCCTGGTTGTTGTTTAAAAGAGGATCAGATGTGCTAATTAAAGCTTAAAATGGACCATTATAAAGAGGGAAATCTAAACCGTCCTGAAGAAGTGCTGGTCTATGTTCTTCCCCTTGCTTACAGGGAGAGGATGAGTTTATGAGTAAGAACCAGGGGAAGTTAAAAACTAGCTTCTGCGACAGATACTCTTTGTGCCTCCTGTGTACTTTTGCCAGATACCAAGAAAAAATACTTTTGTAACCTACGATGTACGGGGAAGACCCTTGCAGGAATCTTAACCTCATTACATGCTTCTGAAGATAACTATGGAGAAATTATGACAAAGAACTCAACTGTACCTATTTTCAAAATAACTGAGGCCTTTTTGGTAATGACACTTGGATAATGGTCTGAGTGTTGACAGCTTACAGCAGGCATGGATTTGTAAATTTATGTTTGTTCCTCATGTGTCTGAGATTTTCTGAGAGTGCTTTTTCTAGAAAATACTATCCCTTCTTATCTCAGAATTTGGATTATTAGTGTTACTTTCAAAAATGGAAATTAGATCAATTTCCAACAGGTACAGTCAATAATAAGTATCAACAAAAGTTAAAACTTTTTCCTTGTAGGTTGCTATTCCAAGCAAGACATTCTTGTATCTTTTAAAAAGGACTTGCATCACTGTATCCCCTGCTGTTCTTTTGC